ATTTATATAATCGCTGGTTTCAACACAATGTCACCTCCAAGTAATTAACAGTCATATATCACGGAATTCTCTTCCCACTCTATAAACGATCAGTCCAATAAAAAATAATTTATTCCTAAGGTAGCGCCGCGTATCCCGCCTCTTAGTCTCCCGTCATCATCTCCATAAATTCTGGGAAAATGATAGGAAAACGATTATTCATTTGCCCGTTTCTGCAAACACTAAACGCATACGAACCAAAAACACTCATCGTGGACCGACTAAAACTTACCATCAAAGTCTACAGTCCCAGAATCGTCCGTGTCGATCTCCGCAATCATCTCGTTGAGCTGATCGGGGGTCAACTGGTCGTCCAGGGCGATGAGGATCTCCTTCAGGGAGGAGGTGGGAATGTAGCCGTTGCCTGCAAACATTCCGCGAGGGCGTGGTCTCAGAGTGAGGTCGGGGCAGGTCGGGGGCACAGTGAGCAGTTAAAGGGGGTCGACAGACGGCTCGGCAACCTCTACCTTCTTTGTCGTAAAGCCTGAAAGCAGCCTTGAGCTCCTTCTGCAGCGCCTCGTCGTCTTCGTCCAGGAAATGAATGGCTACTTTGCAGAACGCGTCAAAGTTGAGCTTGCCCGTACCTGTGAACATCCATGTGTCTTGATTAGCGCCAACAAGTGGCCTCCGCCGCACAGCCATCAAACAGTCATTCTACGTGTTGCACTGTGTGACTTAGGCCGCCCCGCCCTCCCGGCGTCCATCCGAAGCACGACTATTGCTTTCGTTCTATTTTAAGTCGACTGCGCCTCTCTCGCTCGCGTGTGCGACTCGCATGCATTATATGTCACACGGTAAAAACAAGGTTGAAATCTTGAAGGGAAAAGGGGGAAAACTTCGCCAAACTTCAATAATTTCAGGAAAACTCAGATTTTTGAGGAAGTCTTCTAATAAAAAGTGAGGGAAATTTCCGCATCTTTTGTCGGGACTTCATTACCTCAAATTGTGAGAGTTACTCAAAAAATCAGGCATCGTTTTTACTGTGCACTTACCGTCCGAGTCCTGCTCTGTCAAGACCCGATCGAGCTCTCTGTCGTCAAAGGCCTGGCCCATTGTGTTGAGGATAGTGTGCACCTTCTCCCTCTCTATGCAGCCCGTCTTCCCCGAGTCGAACATGGAGAAGGCTCTCCTCAGCACTGTGGGCAGATAGAGAAAGCAAGGCGCTGCGGCTGAAAGTTGCTCTACGGCCAACCAGGAGGGAAAGCCTGATCAGTGGCCACCCAACGAAGCTGGGGACGGCTGAAGGTTACCCACAGAAAAAAACCAGTTACGTATACACTGGAAATCCAAGTGTAAACTATCGCTACTAGCAAGTGAGTGAGAAAACTCTCACACCGGTGTAGGTGTGCGACAAAGTACTCATAAAATTTGTAGCTGAGCGGATAGAAATTATTTATTACACTTGAAAAGGTAGCCATTTATCAGTCCCAAAGTGTGCGTGGTCACACACACATCTTCAAGAGCGTATACACATGGATTTCCAGTGTATTGGAGTATAAAAAGGCAGAACTCTGAAGTCGTACTGACGTACTGACGTTTTTCACAGACATTTTTCACTTGGTTACCCCCCCCCCCCTCCTTCCCTAATCCACTCTTTTGCACGGCGAGGTTAGTGATTAAGGTTACTCGTTCAAACGCCATGCTCGTCATCGAAGTGTCACGCTGTCTCTGGCCCAACCTATATTCTCGTCCCTCCCCTATCCCCTCCGCGCTTCCACCATCGATTCTCGTTTCGCTTTCCTGTCAGATGTGTCCCCTCGCGCGCGCGACTGGCGGAGCGAAAAGCGCTGCTCATTCCGAAATGTCTTTGGATTTCCAAACCCCCGGGGTCGACTGTTGCTGATTTGATAATCAGAACTCGTGAAAGCAGGAATTCGGCAGGGAGAGGAGGGGCGGGTAGGGGCAAAAGGAGGGATAGGGGTCGACACCATCAGCGGCAGCGGAAGGGCGTCAGCTTGAAAGCACTTTGGGCGCACGTCACGAAATCGTCACGCCTCCCCAATTTTAAGGGAATCCATCTCTAATCCCGCCGCCGGACGCGCGCCCTTTTCCAAATGGATGACAAAAAAACGCCCTGCCTGAAAGACACTTGGTAAATCACTTTCCCATTTAGAGCGGGAAGCCCGGGGCAGCCACGCCGACAAGCATCATTCCGTAAAACGATTTCTCTGGCACGACGTTTTAATCTGCTCTCAGTCGACAAGGAACGCGGGGCGCCCGGGGTCCGGGGATATGAGACGGGCCGGGTTAATCCAATATCGGTTAGTTTAGCAGCAGGCGACTCCCTTTAGATACTTACTGTCTGTTAAATATTTCCTATACTTACTGGTGACTTGCTCCTGGTCCAGGGTCTCGGACTGCAACAAGCGAGAAAAAGACCCATCTCTTTAATTGTCCCGTGGTATGGCTCTTATCACATACCATCACCTTCCTTCAATTGCAACGTGTGTAATCGCTAATGGCAATAAATAAAAAATAAAATTACTTTAAACCTGAAAGGCTTCACAATACCTTTCGCCGCTAGATACTCGACTAACACCAGTGTTATAGCTCGCCCCCTCCAAAGGGGCCACAATTCCTTCAGTTTTAAGCGTTTTCGTGTGACCCCATGTCAGTTTTCAACCCTCTAGAGCAAACTAGAGGTCGCCATGACAACTTATCAGGGCAGTATAAGGGGATGCGGAGCTCATCGCGCCCAGAGGACAAAAGAAATAATACACACAGTCTGCCAGACCAGGGCAGACAATGGCAGGCTGCTCCCGCCCGGGCCATAGCTGCTGGTGTGGGCTCCTGGGCTGCAGCAGTCCGACTCCGTTCCCGCTGCACTTTGGGGGCGTGGCCTGAACGGTTAATGTCAAGATAGCGCGGTCTCTAATAATTTCAGAACCCCCTTTTTTTTAATTTTTTACCCGCTATGTTTTAAACACTGTTAAAAATTTCTTGGGAATTCCCGAAGAATCACTTTCTACCACTATAAGAAATTCCCAGAGGACTCCGTTCTAAGTTTTTTGTGTACTAAAACAGATGTTAAAGGTGAAAGTTTTCATTCGTCTACATGTTACGAAGCTAAACTCGACGCGTGAAATCTACAAAGTTCTTTGGGAAATCCCAAAGGACTTTGGCAATACTTTTCACGACTGTTCCTCCGTGAAATCCCAGGATTTTTTTTAACAGTGTAACGTACAGTCTGAGCATGTACAAACCAAACCATGCGCACCAAACAACGGCAGCCCAACTCTGCAAGTTGCAGAAAGGCGCCTAATTGGCATTGCCTCGCTGGGCTCCGCCGCGCCAAAACACGCAAAACTACGCAGAATGAAAATTAAAAAAAAAGCCTCCGCGGTCCAAAAACACGTCCCGCTCCGCAGCATTAATAAATTGATTCGAGAGGCAGCTGCGAGGCCAGCCCCCGCCGCGCCCGAAAACCCTAATTATTATTCCCTTTTTGCAGAGACGTTGGCTAAACAATCGAAACCGCGGCGAAGCCCTTCAAAAAAAGCAATCAGTGGCAATCAGTCGGCGTGTCCGCGGCAGCAGGCGTCATCGGCACCCTCGCCTCGCTTTAAAGGTCCAACGCGTTATTCATTTCGACAAATTCATTAACATTTCTGTGTTGTATTCAAGTTATGTACATGAGAAAATGTGACATTTCAAGACCGAAACTTATTGCGTAACAAAGGTCCCAACAAACGTGTTGGACAAGCGTTCACATGTAACCATACAAGCGATAGGTGACCTGCCCTGTTGTTTTTTTTATGGTTATACTGTACTAGCAGTTGCAGGCGTGTTAGGGGGTTCCACACTCGTACGGGGCCAGCCATAAGACGCCTTATCAAGCGACGGCAAGTTTAAGTAAGAAAAAAAAACGGTCCGAATCATCAAACTTTTACTTACAATTTTAAAGACTTCCAGTATTTTCGCAAGCCTTTTGTATATCTGGGTGATTGTCACAAACACACATTAATTCTTCCTCTCACTCTCTCTCTCTCTCTCCTTCTTTAGAGTGTGAATAATTTTGTTTTGTTTTTGTCGAAAAGCGCTCGTTCGACCGCAGAGTACGATTAAGCTCGGTGTGCGCGGCGATATGCTTTTGCCGGGATCAGCGAGGTGTCGCGTGGTGCGGAGGCGCAGAGAGGAGAGACGAGCTGCCTGTTCCCTTTGCGTTCCCTTTGAGTCCCCACCGAGTGGGAGAGAGGAAAGGG